TTGGGGTCATGGTGGTGGAGATATCAAGAACATTCAAATAAAGAACGTGTTTTTTTTTGTTTGTTTTAAATGTCACTCAAATGAAAATGTTCTAGATTCAGTCTCAGGTTTCCACTCAAAACAGCCACTGAGCACAAGTTATTGATTTTTCAGGGGATGTTTCTGAGGAGATTAGATCTCAGATAATCCACTTGCATAAAGTCAAAGGAAAATGAGTGAAAAATACAGGAGTTTCCAAAACTGGAGTTCAAAAAATGATTAAAAACTACAGAGAAAATACAAAAAATAAAAAAAAAATGTTTTATTGTCAAAAGAAATGATCTTACGCGTAGTCACTATATGTAATATTTCTGTTGAGATTGTTGTAGAATATTATAAGACTATTTCACTTATTTCTAGACATTTTTACTTGTTTATCAAGTAAGTTTACCAAGTCAAATGATCTCACTATATTGGTGGATAATTTAATTTAAGAAATAAGTTTGAAACAAGCAAATTTATCTACCAGTACAGTGAGATAATTTCACTTGATAAAATTACTTAAGTAAGTTAAAAAGTTAAGAAATAATCTTATAATAAGTTTACAACACTCTGAAGACAAGAAATATTTGAGATATCGACTAAATTTAAGATCATCTGACAAGAGTAACAACCACCTGGAAGAGCTGGTCGACCCCAAAACTGCCCCCATCAGATAAACAGCACTTAAAGCTTTCATCTCTGAGAGACAGGAGAAAATCAAGCTGCTTCAGATCTGAAAACATCCACAGGTGTTTCTGTCCATCCTTCCACTGTGAGAAGACGACTCAGCGCTGTGGGTCTGAAAGGATGTGTGGCTGTCAAGAAGAACCTCACTGAGAAAAGGAGACGGACACATCAAACAAAGAAGCTGAACGATGGACTGACCACCCCAGAGTCCAGACCTCAACACCACTGAATGTGTTTGATTACTTCAGAAAATCATCAACCAGCTTCTAAGACTGAACTTTGGAGGTGGGTCTGCAGATTCTTTGAGGAACTGAAAGTGAGTCTCCTGAAAACAATGGAAGCTGGAATGAAGAGTGGATTATTGTTTACATTAAACTTTCTTCTTCATTTTGGAAGTGAATTATATCTAATCTGTGCAGAAATGAAAATGAATCATTTAATCATTAAAAAAAAAAAAATGTAATCATTTAAACCAAACAGCTGTTCTTGATGGAAGTTAAATAAATGAAGGGTGGTCTCAGACTTTTGCACAGCGCTGTATCTATGTGTGTGCATGCAAACGCAACATACATACACACTTAAAAATGATGGTTCTTCAAGAGTTCTTTAGTTCTTTAGTGGTTCTAAACAGAATCATTTTTATATTGAAATCGCAATTTAAGAGAGTGCAATTTTCAAACTGCAAGAGCCGCATTTTTTTCAGAATTATAGCCTACATTATCAAAAACATCTAGTTTTAAAAGGGGGAAATTTAACCTAATGTCACAAAGCTTGTTGTGAACTGACTATGGAGTTAGACCAATCAGAGGCAGCCAAACCTCCATCTGTTGTGACATCACAAACTCAACCTTCTAGATGTCTGGTACGCTACATTCAGGGGTCGAGCCTCAAGCCAGAAAAAGTGGATTTTTTTTTTCGTTTTCTTGGTTAAAAAAAAAAAAACGGAAACTGATGAAAAATAAATCACAGTTTAAATCACAGTCGCACTGTTAGTCAGAAAAACCGATTCCACATTTTCCCCAAATCGTTCAGCCCTAATATAGAACCATGAACACTCAAAGAACCCTTTCCATGATTAGAGGGTTGTTTGCATCGTGAAAGGGGTCTTCAGATTGATGGAGAATTTGCACCAAAAAGGGCTCTTCTACTGTTACGATGTCAGGCTTGTTACAATAGAAGAACTCTTTCTGGTGCTATATAGAACCCTCTTCAAAAAGGTTCTATATAGAATCATACACAGCACATTCTCCATCAATCTGAAGAACATTTTCACAATGCAAACAACCCTTTAATCATGGAAAGGGTTCTTTGAGTGTTCATGGTTCTTTATAGAACCATTTTCTTTACTAAGGAAGCCTTGAAGAACCATCATTTTTAATGTGTAGGTATTTATATGTTTGAGTATTTGTACGCATGTTTGTATTGTGTATGCGTGTGTGTGTGTGTGTGTATGTGTGTGTGCGCGCCCCAGAGAGCACAGACAGGAACAGCAGCCCACCGGGGGTCTCCCTTTAGAGGATAAGAGAGAGGTGAGGACGGTCTCTCTGGATTAAGGCAGTGGTAAAGTTGGTCCCGTAAGCGTGAATTCTGTTCCCCGAGGTGCTGATACTGACTTCAGCACCCAAAGACGCAATCTGCGCTTTCTGGAGTGTATCTTTCACACACACACACACACACACACACACACACACACACACACACACACACACACACACGTCCGTCTCACGCCAAACCCTGCAGTTAAAGAGCCCATACAGTGGAGAACGCATTGATTTTTATGCCTTTTCTACTTGGAGGACTTGTAGTATGTAAACACTGTTAAAGTTCCAAACGTGCCGTTCACTTCCGGAACATATCATCACTGTCCAAAGAAAAACAAGTATCCCCAAAATAGTAACTTTACAGGAGAGGGCAAAAACACTGACCTTTCAATGTAAGTCAATGTAAAGAGGTTTTATTCCCAGTGATTTTAGAGCATTTCTATTGGTCCATTCATCATGAAATTCTCACACAACATGAAGGACGGCTGGTGTTTTGAAATGATGTAAAAAAAAATAAAAATCAACAAAAATGGAGATACATGGTTTTCTTTGGACAGTGACGATATATGTGAACTACACTGTGGCCACTGTTTGTGTGACATCATACAAACCAGTGTATTTGCATATGTTCAGCCTATTCAGCTTACATCAGTTTAGCTCCACCTATTCTGATTGAAGTTATAAGGTGTGTTTCAGCCTGGACTGCTTCTTGAATGAGGTGCAGCCAATCAGAAGAGAGCTCATTCACATATGCTAGTCTTAAAGGGGAACTCCACCAAATTTCCTGTGTAATTAAATGGTTGAGATGTAAACAGAGTTATTCAGAGTGGTCTACTGTGAAATGCTCAATTCTACTCACTTTAAAATGACAGTTTTTCAAATTCTTTAGTAAAGTAAATGGTTCTATATAGAACCATGAACACTCAAAGAACCCTTTGCATGATGAAAGGGTTCTTCAGATTATTTTTCAGAAGAAGAATGTGTATAGAATTCCATGTAGAAAATGTTTCTATATAGCACCAAAAAATGGGTTCTTTTATTATTACAAGCTTGTCATCATAACAATGGAAGAACCTTTTTGGTGCTATATTGAACCCTTTTCAAAAAGGTTCCATACAGAACCATACACAATACATTCTCCATAAATCTCAAGAGCCCTTTCACCATGCAAAGAACCATTCAATCAGGCAAATGGTTCTTTGAGTGTTCATGGTTCTACCAAGTGTGTAGAAAAACTTAGAGAATTGTTCACAGTGGTGGTGATAGGAACCAGACGCCCACCTCTAAAAGCTCCCTCAGAGAAAGTTACTAGAAGATTTTGGCCTTAAACTCCATTCATGGTGGAGGGATACATCATATGCAGGGTGCTGTGAGGCAAAATAGTCCCCAATCACTATTTTTCCATCATCATCATTCCATATAAACTCAGAAGACTCGTGTAGGTTCACTGGTGGTTCTGGATAGTAAATAAAATGTCTATATCTGTGTTGTAGTCATGGCGACCCCTGGTTCCTATCACCACCACTGTAAAGAACCATTTCACACCAAACCGCTCTGAATCACTCTGATTACATCTCACACACTGAATTATGCAGATAATGAATTCCCATTAAAAGAACAGTAGCAAAAACAGCCTGTTTAATTCTAAGGGAAAATGAGAGGTTGTGTATTATGAATAAAATGAATTATGGCTAAAACCACACAAACGTCATAAGAGGACCTCAGGAGAGGAAATGAAACAAAAGAAGTGCCAATATTGAATATCGCTGCTGTCGGAAGAAAAACTTGTATCTTCATTTTTGTTGTTTTTTAGTTTTTGATAAAATTTGAAAATACCCGTCGTCCTTTACATTGTTTGTAAATTTCCGGCCCAAAATGACTTAGAAAAAAGTCTGGTTCCATTGACTTACATTAAAATTAAAGTATGATTTTTCCTTCTCCTGTAAAGTTACCATTTTGGAGATATGAGGTTTTGTTCCGACAGCAGTGATATGTTCTCTAATGCACAGTGTGACTTGGTATTTTAATGTAATTTAATTTGAAAATTGAAAATAGATTTTTGACTGAAAATTGATTTTTGATTGAAAATCAAAAATAATTCCCTCATATTTAGCCGGGCATTGCAATATTAAACACATTATAAAATGTACATTAATTTGAACTGACTGCTCCATCACTCGCTTTACTACACGGATTTCATCTCATTTACAACATTACACTGATCTAAAATGTCCTTTTTTAAAAAGTGTGCTGCTCTTTTCCTGAAATGTAAATGAGAGAAAGGGGTTCCGCTGCCTCTGTCACTGTTAAACGACCATGATATGCTTCATTTAGACGCAATTAAGAAATTTAATTGCATTCTGCATGTTCATTTAAACCATGGCATTGTCCTCGCTACTCAGCCCAATGAAATCAAGGTCTTTCAACTGGACTGAAACAGAGGATACTCCACGACTGTCCGTATAATTACACGCCTGTTATCATTTGTGGAGTGCGCGGCTTGAAATTTTCCCAGAATTTCAGCAAAATCAGACGCCTTACATCTCGACACGTCTGAAAACAGCCTTTAATAGCCCTAAAAAGCAGAAAAAGGGAAAAAGACGCACCCAGACGAGGCTTTAAAGACAATAAATCCGCAGCATGTCAGTCTCTTTCATTGCGAACAGCCCACAACTGCGTCCACATCCCTGGGATTCAATATAAACGAGTGTTTTTCCATCATATAAAAGTGAAAAAAGCGCACTCACCTTGTGCAAACAGAGCAGAATTAAGAAAGTCTGAAGTTTTCTCATCTTGGACGCTGGATTTTTCCCTCTGATCTCTTAAATAAGGCGGATGAAGCTGAAATCCAGATGTTTTGCAGGAGCATCAGTGCACACCATCGCTGTAACGACCTGCATTGAAGGGGAAAAACATGTAAACATAAACACAACGCATATAATTATAAAGCTAATCAGAATAATTATATTTCGCAATTAGTCATCAAATCAGATTGTGACATTATGTGCCATTCAGCCTTGAAAAAGCCATCAAGGTTCCTGGAATCCAAGGTTCTTGACTTGGACGTACGGTTCTAGGAAAGAAAACCTCTTAATTGGGATGTGGAGGTTCTTTAAACTTTTTAAAAGGTTTTTAAAACTCATGCATCTCATTATCCACTGGAGGAAATAAAAGAACTTGAGAACTGTGAACACTTGAAGAACCATTTGAATGGTTCTTTGCATGGTGAAATCGTTCTATGATGGAAAAACCAGTTAGAGAACGAATTTCAAAAATGGCTCTAAAAGGGTTGTTACAATAACGTTTTTAGCATTATGCAGAACCAGTTTTTGCTGCTTGAATTAAACACTCTTAAATGCACCAGCACCTTAAATACACCGTCAAAAAATCATGCACGCGCACATGTCACCTGATACCTGTCAATCAAAGCGTTTATCATTTATCTTAGCATAAATAATGAGAACGAGGCTGAAGTTAGTTGGCTTCTTTGAGGAATTCGCGGTTCCACCTTAAATGGCTGTACCATTTAAGGTGGAACGGGAAAATTCCAAATCAGAAGCTGGCGAATAGGAATCTAACTAAAGATAGATAAAAGATGAGTCCAAAACGAAGTCCAACTCACCTTCCTCGCCGTGAAACATCACTGAGAAGTTAGAAAGAGGGAAGCAGGGGGCTTTTATGGCAGCCCGAGCGGAGTCCCACTGGTGCGGTGCTGGAGGTGGCGAGTGAAGAGCCGGGTTCAGCGCGATGGGACATGAGCTTTAAAGTGGAAAACGCCGCTTCAGAGGCTTTTACATGCTGCCGCTGCCTCCCCTGCTGTCCTTGGCTCAGGAGACGGATGAAGGATCACTCGGAAGCTCCTACATAGTTACAGGGTCTGGAGGTCCTTCTGCTCTGGTCCCACCAGCCTGCTGGAGTGATGATGGAAGCGCAAGGCTGCTGTTCAGACTTTAGCGCCTGCCTGGAGCTCTGGAGCTCAGACACGCGTCAACTTTTAACCCGTTAGCAGCCTCGCTCTGACATGACGCGGACATGGACCGTCCTGCAGAGGTTTGGCCAAACCAAAGTGATTCCCAAGGGTGCATCCCCAGCACCAACCAGCTGATGTCCTTGATTGGCTGGTGGGGTTGGCTTGGGCACTACTGGGTTGGACCAGAAGACCATTCAGACTTCACTTTGGTTATGCTGGTTTATATGAAGTCATTATAGGTGATTTATGGTCATTTGAGGCACAATGAAGAGCACAGTGGGCTGGAAAATGTGCAAATGATTAAGGGATGTGGCTCGTTAATGCAAATAGGGCATTTATAGTTTGGTTTGTTTGTTTGTTTGTTTGTTTGTTGCTATTTGAGGCTTTAAAGGTGATTCATAAAGTTAACTTGAGCATTAAAGAGCCAAAAAGACCATACAGTCTTCCAACACACGGAACACACTGTGAACCACGTTAACAAATGTGTCAATAGCGCCCCCCTGTGACTAAATCCAAGACCACACCTGAATATCTTTCCTATTATTTGCTTTATTTTGCTGTGTGTATATATATATATATATATATATATATATATATATATATATATATATATATATATATATATAGTTAACGTGGTAATAAGCCATTAAAGTGGTTTAATAGAAACGTGCTATAATGGAAAATTCTAATAAAGATGATATTAATCAGAATATAGCACTGAAATATTTTATATAAACACTTTAAAATTATGGTTCTTGAAGGGTGCTTTAGTGAAGAAAATTTCAAAGAACCATTTTCATGATTAAAGGTGTTTTGCATCTTAAACAGGTTCTTCAGATTGATGGAGAATGTGCTGTGTATGGTTCTAAAAAGGGTTCTTTACAGCACCAAAAAGGGTTCCTCTGTTATTACATGTCAAGCTTGTAACAATAGACGAACACTTGTGGGTGCTATATAGAACCATTTTCAAAAAGATTCTATATAGAACCATATGCAGCACATTCTCCATTAATCTGAAGAACAATGTCACCATGTAAAGAACCATTTAATCATGCAAAGGGTTCTTTGAATGTTTATGGTTCTATATATAGAATCATTTTGTTTTCTAAAGAACCCTTAAAGAACCACTTTTTCTCTTCAAGTGTTCTTTAGAAAATGGAATGGTTCTATTTAGAACCATGAGTTCTATATAGAACAATTTGCATATGTAAATGGTCCTTTGTATAGTCAAATGGTTCTTCAGATGGTGAACATGTTATGTATAGAATTATATAGAACCAAAAAGGGTTCTGTTGTTGTTACAATATCAAGCTTGTATACAATAGAAGAACCCTTTTTGGTTCTATGTAGAGCCCCACTTTCTCTGTAGCTTTTAATGAGTTTTTGATCTCCGGTTTTGGAAACTCTTGTTTTCCCAGTTTTACTTTGACTTTCTCCTTTCTTACACTGTTAGTAATAAAGGTTCTGTTCAGGTACATTTTTCACTCATCAAGGTACAAACAGTGTAAATGTTCCCTCAAAGCTCCAACAGTGGTTTTAAGGTCTGATTGTGAACCTTAAAACAGTTTCTCCAGGTGAAAAGTTCGTATTTGTACCTTTTCATAACCGAATGTTTTAAACAGAACAGTAAAATAAAAGCCTGGAGACGAGACGGGGTGTGTGGAGTCAGTACAGCTTAGAACATATCATTTCAGTGGATTATGGTTCAGTTATGTTCCCTGACTAAAGGTACTGAGATGGAGCCTTGAGGGAACCACCCCAGTGATAGTTTAGTACCTTTATGTCTGAGAATGTATGCAAGTGAATTATCTTCTATCTAACTATTTAACAATATTAAAAATTAATAACTCGGAAGTTCAGTAAATCAAGGCAGGTCTCTGACTTTTGCACAGCACTGCAATATATATCGATATAGCAGCGTCACCATTTTATTTACCTTATTAAAAAAATATTCTTGCATTTTAAGGTGAAAAGACAGGAATGAGAACTCTGGGTGCATAAAAGCATGTAATGACATAATCAAACAGTGAGGCGCTGTGATACATCATTAATAGTGAATGGAGTAGTGGAATCAATAGAGATGCTAAAATCACTACATATAAGATGTGTCAATTACTTAATTCTGTGAGAAATAATGAACTTACGTTATGTCTGACTTGTTGGGCACCTTCTGATCCGAGTCTGAGTATTATCAGGGCATACGAGCACTCTCAAAGCCAAGTAAGCATGACCATGCACTTGTTATCAGCTATCAGCAGAAACTGTCAATCAAACTGTCCTCCAAAGAGCGAGCTTTTGTCAACAAGCTTGTCAGTTTCTAGATAAAACGCTTTCATGCCAAATCAGTACTTTACGAAATGCTTTTATACCTGCAGGTGAACAAAAAGCACTTTGGAGAAAAAAAGTGCAACACTGAACAAATTAGAGCAAAAACTCAGACAGAACCTTTTCATTAATCCAAATGCAGCCTTTTCAGATTAGATACACTATAGTTGTCCAAATGTATCCATACAGTCTTACTGATGAGTGATTTCAGCTAGTTTAAAGTTCACTCATTGGGCAGTTGCGCTCATAGAGCCTGTATAAACTCCATAGAAAAGCACTAAAGCAGCTGCACATGAGCAGCTGGTCACTATGCCCAACGTGGGCTAGAGGGGTCTAAAGGCCCCCCCAGCATTGGGCTGTGGAGCAGTGGAACTGTGTTCTCTGGAATGATGGAGCTCCATCATTGGGATGAGTTGGAGATCCAGAACTGACCATCCAACATCAGTACCTGACCTCACTAATGCTCAATCAAATCCTCACAGCAAAGTTCATTGTAGAGACTCATTGCAGTGGTGGTAATAGGAACCGGGGTCACCATGACTACAACACAAATATAGTCATTTTATTTACTATCTAAAACCACCAGAATGTTGATGATACATTGCATAGTCAACTAATAAAAGCGATTAATAAATCCACTAGTTGGCGCTAGGGGCAGCAGGACAGTGTCTGGCACAGCAGTGAACAGGCAGGAGGAGAGAACAGGAATCAGTTTTTCTGCTGAAGACAAATAAAAAGTGCTTTATTGGTGAGGAAACACTGCACAAGATGAAACTAGTTCCACTTTAAGGTGCGTAAAACTGCACTTAAATACAGGCTCGTAAGCCAGAGCTGGTGGGTTTTGGGAACCACTATCTCCGACAGGAAAGGGCTGTTTGAGTGCCACTGATAGCAAGTGGATAGTGGACCACTGTTGGCCTCCTGAATGCAAGGCTGGTGGTCCACTAGCATTTTGCTCAGCGTTTTCCAGGCAGCCCACCAGTGTTTAAGCAATTTACTGATTTTTCCTTCATTTCTTTCTTTAGTTACACTTGGTAAATTAGTTTAGTAGATCATTTTAATCCAGCACAGTGTCAGCAACAACATTTCTATAAAAATATTTTATATCAGGCCTCGTCATTATTTTTTTCACTCAGTTGTTTGTAGTGTTTGTCTCAGTTCATTTTCCAAAATAAAAGTCTCATTTAAAAGTGCATTTAAAATCTGTTTGAGGAGATTAAAAACTAGTTAGAGCTTGTATACCGGACAGTAATCTGGGTGGACCAGCAGTGGAAAACAGTCGGCAGGGAGCCAACATTATCGAGCCAGTGGACCGATGTATGCTTGCTATCTGGGATAGAACGCTTAGCACAATGTGAGCAACAAAAACAAACATCTACTAAATAAAATGGAGCATCAAACACATGAGGATATTTTGTTTACTCGCTACCTACAGCTTTAAACACAATTCAGGAACAACTTAAAAAGAAACGCTGGTTCAGAAACTTGGCCTGTATCTGGCTCTGAAAGGCTCATTGGTGAGTGGACAGTAGTAGACCTCTTGCTACTAGCATTTACCTTAATACACAAGTTCCTCCCCATCCAACTGATGCACAGAATCTGCTTACTGAATATGTACAAAAAAATGGTGAAAAATGGTAAATCTCATTCTATATGTAAAACCTGTGTATGTGAGGTTTACATGCAAAACTGTGTGTACGCATTGTTGACAAATGAAACTCCAGTGACCTGATTTATAAAAGCATGTATGGCTTTGGTCTTAAATGCCCACATTTAAGTATCAATGTACAGTGTGTGTTTTTATAAATTGATCTTAAGAAACACTTTAGAATGAAGGGTGTTTTCTAAAAGAGGCCCCAGGAGACGCTTATAGGTCACGCTTATTTTATAATAATTCAGATCAGACTAAGAATTTTAGTGTCACAATGGAAAGAAATAAATACCATCGTAATACATATGATATTATGATTCCTATTAATGATTAAGCAGGCTTTTGTTTTTGGTCCCTCCTTTTTTTCACAATCAGCTCCACAGCCTAGCAATGCTTTAACAACCTCCTGGGATACTATAGCAGTGACCTACCAACACCTTTGCAACCACCTGGGATACCATAGCAATGGCCTAGCAATACCATAGCAACCATCTGGGATACTATAGACATGGCCTGACAAAGTCATAGCAACCATCTGGGTGGGATAGCACAACAACAACCTAGCAGCACCTTAGCAACCACCTGGGATACCATAGCAATGGCCTAGCAACACCATAGCCACCATCTGGGTAGGATAGCACAGCAACAACCTAGCAGCATCTTAGCAACCACCTGGGATACCATAGCAATGGCCTACCAACATCTTAGCAACCACCTGGGATACCATAGCAATAGCCTACCAGCACCTTAGCAACCACCTGGGATACCATAGCAATGGCCTAGCAACACCATAACAACCATCTGGGATACCACAGAAATGGCCTAGCAACATCAAAGCAACCACTTGGGATACCATAGCAATGGCCTACTAAAACCTTAGCAACCATCTGGGATACCATAGATAGCACAGCAACAATCTAGCAGCACCTTAGCAACCACCTGGGATGCCATAGTAAAAGCCTACCAACATCTTAGCAACCACCTGGGATGCCATAGTAAAAGCCTAGCAACATCTTAGCAACCACCTGGGATGCCATAGTAAAAGCCTAGCAACACTTCAGCAACTACCATGCAAAACCCTGAAAACAAGGTGGAATAGCTTAGCAACTTCAAAGCCAAACTGCCCTGATTTGGTACATAAACCCAGTCAACAATGTTCTGCACCTGCTTTAAGTTTTGGAGCACGGTTAGCTGGATTTGTCAAGATAACTTAAAATGTATTTGTTTTGTGTTTAAATATTAACATATAAAGCAGGAGGCATTAATATGTTGGGTGTAACTGTTGGTGTACTTTGTGTACACAGTTCTGTGTTTGAATTGCTGTCTGTAAGCTTTAACCTCCCCAACTTGTCAGACCAAATTAGCTCTCCTTATGTAAGCCAGCATGAACTCCAACTCTGTGTAGTTGAGCCTATTTTGTAGAATTAAGTTCTAGGAATTCTTCAAAAATTAAAAGTCTCTTTAAATGGAAGAGAAATGCATTTTAAAGCAGAGATTTGTTCTATTTTTATTAAAAAAAAAAAACCAAAAAAAAAAAACCCTGAAGTTCAGTTGAGCCCAGTCAAAGTCAATTGAACTGCTGTAAACATTAGCTCTCTTGGTAGCTCCACCCCATCACATGCACCAGCTCCCCTTTGAAATAACACCCTTTTCTCACAATGGAAGGAAGCCAGATAATTTCCCCCTTTCACCACTGAGAACAAGACAGTGCATTGTTCAGGATGGCTGGCGTGCAGGTGTTGCTGAGTTTGCTCTGCTTGAGTTCAGCCCAGGCTGGGAAGCTCTTAGTGGTTCCAATGGATGGCAGTCACTGGATTGGGATGAAGCCTGTGGTTCAGGAACTGGGAAAAAGGGGGCACCAGGTGGTGGTCGTCATTCCAGAAGTCAGTATGACACTTGGGTCTTCAGAGCGTACCACCACTATCACCTATCCTGTACCTTTCACTGAAGAGGAGATGTATGAGGACTTTAAAGCTGGCATGGCTAAAATCATCAGCCAAAACCTTGTTACTGATCTGGACAAGCTCCGGAATTTCATCCTGCTTCTGGATATAATCAGTGAAGTTTCGGTTAGGAACTCTGAGAGTCTGCTCTTCAACAAAACACTCATGCAGAAACTGAAAGACTGGGAATTTGACGCTGTTCTCACTGATCCCTTTGAGCCAACAGGAGCCATTATTGCTGAATACTTTTCCATCCCGTCCATTTTCATACAAGTTAACCTTGCCTGTGGTGTGGACTTCCCAGCCACCCAGTGTCCAAGTCCACCTTCCTACATTCCACAACGTTATACGTTTTATACCGACCAGATGAGTCTCTGGCAGAGGACGGTGAACTTGATGAGGAACTTTCTGCAGCCGATGGCCTGTAGATACCTGTATAGCAGAGCAGACGAGATTGCCTCACGATTTCTTCAGAGAGAAACGTCCATGGTGGAGATCATGAGCCGTGCAACTATATGGTTAATGCGCTCCGACTTTGCCTTTGAGTTTCCTCGACCGGTGATGCCAAACATGGTAATGATTGGAGGAATTTCTGCTGCTAAACCCAAACCTTTGCCACAGGTAAGCCTTAGAAATGACACCAATGATTCCTTTTTGTAGCTGTGTTCCTTGGTGCACGACACTCTTCAGCTTTTTCTGCGCTCTTCAGGTTGGAGCAGTGTTTGGTCTCTGAAAACTAGCCAAACAAACCAAAAGTGATGACTTACTAAAGATTTTACAGTGAGATGTGGTGGGATGGTTAGTAAAAGCCTGGACGTCAGTGCAGAATTTCATTAGTTGAAAAGTGAAGATTTGTTAACTAGAAGGCATCATTCAAATCATAAATTGCTACAACCCAGTTGATTAATGGATTTTTACACATGGTGATGAATTACTGTCGTTCCCAGGAAACCATAAATAGCACAGGTGCATCCCTTAATCTGAACACTCATTAAAAATTTGAAGATTTATAAACATGTGCAGTTGTAAATGCCCTCATTGCCTCCAGGTTTCTGAACTCTGCCCCTTCTGTTCGCAACCAAGGATGCTTTCTAACTTGCTGAACAGGGAATAGACCACTGTAGTTGTTGTCATTCTGTAGTCCTCGTTATGCCCATATTAGGAACTCCGGGTCTGAGCTCCATTTCTCAATGGCCAGAATGAATAAGGTTTTTGAAAAATCGCCTCTATCTTACCCTGTGTTAAATAAAAATGTTCAGAACCCG